CAGTTATGTAACATTTATGTCAGTTTTACATAATTGTTTTTGCTGGAAAGTTCATGCAATAGATATATTCACTTGATTCAAATTCCTAAGATATCGTTTCATCTATTTCAAGATTATATTTTGTCGGGCACAAAGGTATGACGTGAAGGTATTTCGCTAATTCGTAAAATTCTAAGACGCTTAAGCAAATGACAAATTGAAGTAAAATCTCAATAAATATTATACATATATACCTACGACATCGGATATATGATAATAAACACCCAGTAGAAGTGCATAATGCATAATATACGCGTATCAGCATCCGCAGCAGCCAGCCTAATGGTAATTTAAATAAAGCACGATATCACTGGGTAATTAATAATTGAGATGATAAAAAGTTCCCAGAGACTGGTATTAATATTAAAGTCCATTATAATGGGTTTTTATACACAGGATCAAGCTACATTAATTCAAATCATACGAAACACAGTTTCTATATAAATAAAATACCAAAGCCAGCCCACGCATCATTCTATCTCTCTCATCGCAGGCGAGATGAACTATCTGCCTCTCTCTCTGTCCGCCCATACATCATATCTGACACAACCAGACTAGTAATTATACAGTCTGCCCAATATTTCTTTAATAATTCTTCTATTTGAAATTTTGAATTATGTTTAAAATTCTGAGGAAAAAACCAGTTTAGGCAGCGGGTACAGCTCTGCCGAAAAGGCTGCTTCACGAAGAAACAAAGCAGCATAAATTTCTGTGTCCGATAATAATTAATAATTTGTGAGCATGTTTTATCGTTACTGTGAATCTATATTAGTTCGAATATCGAGTTTTAATGGTAATCAGACAGAAAGAAATTATTACCGCTCTCGTATATGGACATTGGGAATTGGTTGATTATTCTTTGTTTCACGGTGTGATGATGATCATTAATTGAATTAAAACTTTATATCATAACTACCTACGAGTCCAAATTCAATTAGGTACCTATGTCTAATTAGTAGAACTTCTCAAAAATAATTATGTTCCACTACTTACTACTGTGTTGAAATGTCTAATTATCATTTATGAACGATCAGGTGTAAAGTGACACTTTATCGCCCGTGGCAACTGGCGTTAAGCAACATGTTTGCGCTCCAGGGCGATGAAGAGATTTCATTTCCTCAGTATATTTTTGAAGAATCATGATAAAAATATCTACATAAAACCAGAAAATCCATTTTTCTCGCTATCAGTCCTGTGTGCAGTTGTAAATATATAGATGCATTTTTCACTTGCCTAAAGACATTTTATTAGATCTGAGATGACTTTCTTCATAGTGTCATATGGCACAATAAATCTCAAGAAAAGAAATCGGTTAATAGTATATTATGTATCAATTGTTATAATAGTATATATGTTGTAGGAAGCATATTACGCACGAATGGAAAAGTTACGCACGCAGCCGCGGAGCTTTACAACACGAATTACGTACTATACTTTACCTACTGTCATATAGTACGTACAGTCTGCATTATAATTCTTGACAGTTATGTTATCCGCTGTTGACGGCGATTACGCGATCATGACTGGCGGAATAAACGAAAACGGTGCGATGTGCTTACTGTGCGTAAAGGGCTACTTACTGAGGCTGTATCTCGTGTGTTCTTGCCTACTTTCTATAGTGGCCGTAGGTAAACGTCCTTTTAGTAACAAGTGGGGTACGTAGTTTTCAAAAGGTATCAGATTAGTATAGATGTAGTTTTTATTAGGTATTAGATTAGTATAGAGTTCAGATAATTTATACGACGCTATAAAAGCAGATGATATTTTATCATTGCCCATGTAAGATGGAAGTAGAGGCCATGGCACCATATCATGAGCATATTTTTATATTGAAACTATCATTGGGCACCAATGATGTGTATACGACGCTATGAAAGTCCAGAGAACTGGGGATTTTTCGTACAAACTACGTACTTAGCCCGTACCTAGTTTATTGGCGAAAAAAAAAGACAGTCGAGTGAGCTCGGTACGTAGTTAATGGGAAAAAAATCAAGACAGTCGAGTGTCCTTTTTTTTACTTTCTTTGTTTCTTGTTTCGTTTTCTATTGGCAAGTGATTATCTAGGAACTTGTAAATTTTTTAGTTTTTTCATCGTATCTCCCGAACTATTGAATTCAGAGAAAAATGTTACGGGGATTTTTTGTGGATTTTATCAAAAGGAATAATTTTGGTTCTATAACATTTTCAGATATTTTCAGTTGTTTTCGAGATATTTGGAATTATCTGAGAATAAAATTTTCAACACTTTTGTTCCATCTTCCAATTAACAAAATGAAAAAATATTCCATGCCTCAGTGGAGGTAGATGAGCTTCATCTATCGATAATCTATGTTTTTCAATATATCTTCATAGTACCCTATGGGTCGTTAAAATTTTTTTTTTCATATTTTTCACTTTATTTCCTGTACTATTGGGTTTACAGAAAAAATTATGGAAAATGATTTGTAGGGAATGTTCCAGTGGATAACATTGCACTCTTGATAATTTTCGATTTTTTCATTTGTTTTCGATATATATTGAATTAAAAGGATTTCAAATTTTGATGTTTGGGTTTTCATTTGTTTTTCCAGTTTCCGATGGATGCACGAAAAAATGATTAAATGATAATTTGTTGCGTCATCAAAGAGGCATACGGTGCATTTCTCAAATTTGGATTTAGTCTATTTGTTCACGAGATATATCGTTTTAAAGCGAACCGTGTTTTTCGGAAAATCTCCTTGAAAAACCCACTTGGAATTTTCCGACCCTGCTCAATTTCAATAGGCTTCGTCTCTTCCTGATAGAGGTTTTTTTCACAAAAAATGAAATCGATCGGACCACTTTTGCGATTTGTAGAGTGCTTACAAGAAACTTCCGGTGAAAAATCGAAAAAACCCGGAAAAACCACCTTAGAGTTTTCCGATTTCCTTCATATTGTAATGACATAATATTGTTTTGAGTACAATAAGATGGCAAAATTTCAAGTCGATATGTCAAAGGGTTCCGGAGATATATCGATTTATGATTAACACAGAGTACAGACAGACAGACAGACAGACCACACACAAAAACCAAAGTTGCTCAAAATTCGATGGGGATCATTTTCTCCAAAGCAACTATACCTCTATCTCGCTTAGTTTCCGAGATAGCATTTTTGGCACGGCCGTAGTATACTCCACTATGTATAGCGTCGTATAACAAGAGTTTTTAACACGAGCGCAGCAGAGCGCGGAGCGAGTGTTTAATAAATGATTGTCTAGAAGAGTTTATAATCGCGTTACATACTTTACTTTTTTCTCAAACTCATAATTCTTCTCTTCGATTAGGTCATATACATGATACTACCTATGCAACTGCATGCAACCAACAAGACAAATATTAGTGGTATTGGTTGTAGACGTGGCCAGGTTAGGTTGAATGGCATGCTTACAAACCATTATATGAATGAGAAGTTTTCATTTGACGTGAAAGATAAAAACTCTTTGATTCGTTGAGGTATCAAAGTTTTTGATTTCTCAGGTTTGTATCCATATATTCTGATTGCATAATTTTGCTCAGATAAATATTGTGTTTTACGTTTATTTTCATTTAGCATACTAACGAATGAATTGCCCAAAAAGATGAGAGCTTCATTTTAACACAGAGTTCTTGGAAATATCCAATTGCCAAACACATTCTCTTCTTTTTCGCTTTCGCCTACATTTCACATACATTTTTAATGATGAATTCTGATACAAACGGAAATTGTATGAATAATTCTGATTGCCAAAAAATTCCAGAATGACAGTTGACAGTTCCTACAATTGACAGGCCGTACAGGACCGGACTCAAACGACTCAAGGTGTGTTGTCATGTTAAGGTGGTGAAGAAATTGTGTTGACATGGTAACATGTTTAATTTTTTGAATAAATCACAGAGATCATCAATCCATGATTAATCGACCATTTAGCGTGGTACATATCCGTACGCTATATGGCATTTTAGTTCGAGAAAAAAAAATTCAACTACGGAAGTAGCTACACTATTGAATTTATAATCTTTGGTAGAAGTCCATATTGCTCAAAGTGGAGTGAAATATTTACAGGAAGGAAGGAATGCTCGAAGTCATCTCCACAAATTTTAATGATATTTTTAACTAATCATGAGGGACATGTTATAAAAGACCATCTTCAGCCTAATTGAAAGGTCTACAATACAAAACAAATGATGTTGAAATGAAAGGATTACCTATTTTATGCTAGACTTACTTGGAGTTGAAAAAATTATTTTATTAAATGCTACTATTCCTTGAACTGTCAATGCCCATAGTCGAGAGTTCCAAGATTCTGAATAAACGGGTTCTCAATGAATGAAGGGCCCTGAGAGCGTATACTATATTTTATTAATGAACATTTCATATACCCAAAATGGTATATGAAGGGTATTGTCAAACAGTTTATTATCTGACAATACCATAAATTAGCGGGTTTTTAAAAAAGGGGTTCCCCGCTCCCTTATGAAGGCGTTATTTAAAGGCAAATATCAATAAAATTGATGGGGCAAGCAGCCAGCACGTGTTTTAAATCTAAACTAATTTGGTTAGAAAACACTGAAAATTATGTCAATTGAAGACATGGACAAGACGTTGACATAGAGTCAATGTCAGTGTCAAGGGATAAAACACGAAAATCTGACCATGAGCATAGGCATTTAACAATATCTAATACAACTATTGGAGAATTTGGATTTAGGAGGAGGGATACATGTAGGAGAGAGTTGAGCAACCTGAAAAATCATTGACTATGAAATATCATAACTCATTCGAACAGAGACTCATTTTTAGTTATATGCGGCCAGAACCGTAATGACATTCTTTCACTGAAATATTCAAAAATTGATATCTCCTATATATAATAACAATATTTCATTTATAATTTGCTGACAACAAAGATTAAAATGTGGTACCTTTTCACAAACCACAAAAATTGGTTTCTAGTGAAATATTAGTTATTTTGAAACCCCCACTGAAGCTGGCCTACCACTACTACCACTATACCAGCATCTCGACCAGCATCTTTGTTGGGAGCATCCTGAAACAAAAACAGTAATATGATTCACCAACTGATCAACACAAATTTTCATACTGACCATTTGAAATAGGGCCTCATGGAAGTTAGCAGCAAACTTCTCATTGATAGGATCCACTGGATCCAATCCATGCCTTTTGAATACACTCTTCAACTGAGATTCAGTCATAATCAAACCTTCATAAAGGCTTCTCAAATGTGGGTTTTTATCAGTGATTTCTTCTTCAGATACAGTTTCAGTCGCTTTACTCAAAACATCAGCTACATCAAGCAAATCCCTACAAAAACCTTGTATACTGTATACTTTTGCATCAGCAATTCTTGTATTTATCCTGAGAACGAGTGAAAATTACTGCCTGGAAAAACGTTCGTCACAGGTTTCATACCAAGAGTTCGAAATTATCAGTTGTGAGTTTAGATATCTGTTCATTAAACTTTTTGAGCTCAACATATTATTTTTCAGTTACATTTGGTGTCTGCTCTTATTTCATTTCTTCAGCAGTTGTATTTCTCCTTGAGTTAAAAACTGCTTTACTCCTAAAATGATAAGATTTATGATTATTTGTAATATGATGCAATTCCACCACAGTTCTCAAAGGCATGACAAATTTCAAAAGCAAAGAAGGAAAATCGACTCACCTTGTGTTGAAAATGAGCAATTCGCTTATGGGCGGATAATATTCAACCAGGTTCCTTATTCCCATTGATGCCATATTTACAATTTTTTCCCGGAAAGTTGACTTTCAAAATGTAATCTACGTTGAAGTTGAATGTTAGAATCATTCTACTGCGACAAATCTGATTCTTCTGTTTGTAAATCTTGCACTCCTGGAACAAACTATTATGAATGTTATAATTCTTTTTCCTCTCTGAATTTAATTTTTTTATTTGAATTTAGGGTAGGTGATCACATAATGGATGTAATGAAAGCTGTAGATACAGATTAATCAACAAATTCAAAAATGCTCCATCTTTGAGAACACCCTGTATATCGTCTATCCATGCATGGTTTATGACATCTCTTCGATTTATATCAGAAATATGAATATTTCTAATACATAAAATTGATTGTAAAAGCAGCATAATGCAGCTTTCCTTGAGCTGTATTATACATTTATAACCATTATAAATCTATTTTTTTTTCTTACCAACCACTCCTATAATAACTGCTATGGACTATTAACACCGCATATTTCACAAATTCGTGTGGGCTTCACTGTTTACTGTATTTCAAATTTTTAATATTTTCTTTCAGGTATTAATCAAAAGATAATAAAGTATCGGAATAAGCCAGTTATTAAAATTCTCAGAAAGTATGGTAATTACAGCTCCCGGCTACGTCAATATTTCATTTATCGGTATTTCGAATTTATGTTGATTTTCATACCGAAAATATTTCAGGTCTGCACTATTCATTTATGCATGAACATGAAACATGGAACATTAATATAAATTGATATTTCTCCTGGAGCAACTGCATGATTAGTTCCATATAGATCATGGAATGATAATATTGCTACAACAGAGCACGATTGATTTCTTCACCCATTCAAATGTGTTTCAGTTGCAAATTATGTGCCAATACGCCGTTGTTCAAAATTGTAAAAATCAGCCTGGTCAGAACAAAACGTCTGCTTGCTTCCCAATAATCTCTGATATCCGTAACAGTGCTGCTCCTTAGGTGGCGTATGGAGCAAGTAACCAACTCTACACAGGACACTGACTAAGGGCTGGAAGACTTCCCCATTAATATTATATTATGTAACAAGTGTTATAAACGTCATTTTAGTAACGAGTATTTTAAGCACGAGCGCAGCAAAGCGGAGTGAATGTTTAATAAACAAGTGTCTTGAAAAGTTTATAAACGCGTTACATACTATACTTCCTCTATGAACATGATTCCTCTTTTCGACAATATCCCATAATTCTGAAAATTAGACGATAAACTATTTGCCAACCTACAAAATAATTCGAAGGTAATGGGAATTGGGCACATAATACATATTATACTATATGCAACTGCATGTGACCAACGAGACACGTATATAACTTATATTGATTGTAGATGTGGGTCCAGTCCATAGGATAGATACATTTCTACTGAAATGGCTTGTTTACTGACCTTTGTGAATTAGATTTTATATGACGCAGTAGATAAAACTCTTCGATTCGCTGAGGTGTCAAAATTTCTCAGGGTTGTATCCATATTCTGATTGCATAATCATTTTGCTACTTTGGATATTGATCTACACGTTTATTGTCTTGCTTAACATAGGATGAATTGCCCACAAAGATTAGAGCCTTATTTTTACCAAGGGTTCTTGGAAATATGCAAGTATACCTACCTAAAACATTCTCTTTGATTTCACTTTCGTCTACATTTCGTATACATTTTTAATGAAGAATTCTGATACGAACAAAAATTGTTTGAATGATTCTGATTCCAAGAAAATTCAGAAATGACAGTTGACAGTTCCTACAATTGACAGGCCGGACAGGACAGGACTCAAAACTACTAAAGGTGTGTTCCAAAAAACTCAGTTGCCATGGTAATGTGTTTAAGAAATTCTGTTGCCATGGTAATGTGTTCAAGAAATTCTGTTGCCATGGTAACGTGTTTAATATTTTGAATAAATCATAGATCGTCAATCCGTGATCAATCTAGCGTGGTACATATCCAGACGCTGAATGCCATTCAAGTTATGTGAGTAGAAAAACATCATTTTTTTGTCACATAAAACTCTATCTATATACCAAATTTCAGCAAAATCGCATATGCCGTTTTAAATTTATATGGGAAAAAGGATTTAGAAATTGTAACTTCTAGGCCCTCTGGAGCCCAAACGATGCAGCTTTGTACCATAGATTAACGACTCCCCGATCTATGTTTGTACTGAGGTAATTTTACTTAAATCGACCTATTTTGGTCTGAGGAATATGTGGTATGTTTTTGTAAAGATCTTTTACAGACACCCTGTATAGTAAAGTATTTTTGTTTTGACCAGGAAAGCCTTCAAGATTCACATACTTGCTCACTTAATCTGTATTTCATTCGTTCTTCTTGGAATGGACAACTTGTTTTTGAATAAGCACGGCCAGCAATACTTTTTCGTCTCACGCAACGATATTTTGTACCTTAATTTTATCACCGAGCCAAACACAGTATGGTATGGATCAGTATGGAGAGAAATAGATGATCCCCATTATTATTGTTGATATGCTTACTAACCTAACATTTTCAACGTCTTTTTCCTATATCTGGCACTGGTGCGGTATTTGGTATTAGGGCTGACACCTGGTCCATATACAAATGGGTCACTATCTGTGATTGTATTGAATAAACCTGATCTGTGAATGCAGGTAGAATATTCTCACCACACTGATTATTTGTTGCATTGCATACATGTCACGGCATCCACGTTTCAGTTATATAGTATTGAATAAGTGCCTGTAGTATCTGATGACATGAATGACATGATCAACACAAATAGTAACAGAGTAGAGTAGTCTGAGGTCTTGCTTCCATATCTACTTATACTCATATTATTATAATAAAGGTATATTAAAGTAATCTGTCAAGTGAGTAACATTAACTCCACATATTTACTTCAGTTAATTCTTTCGGTTGCTGAAAAAATAGCATGTTTCATTCAGATCAAAAGTGACTTTGTTTGACAGGCGAATTTGCATTTGCGAGGCGGAGCGTTTAGCGAAGCCGAGCGAATGATGTGGGCACGCCTCTGTAGTTGTTTACATCTGACATGCTTTGTTCACCATGTATCTCGAATGCTCCAACATTCTAGGTTTACAAGAACATTTTCGATGAAATGCATCACCTATACAAGGTGAATCTTATTTTGGCGAGATGTTTACCCTGTTAAATAAAAAAACTCACTTTCAGATTCACCCTGTATAATAGTGAACCCAGATAACACCAACCATCGGCCCAGCATTTTTAACGCACACCTCACCAGGCAGTTCATGTATATACTTTCCTGGACTCGAAGTGTCCAGGCGGCCGCCAGCTGGCCGTAATACACATTACCGGCGATTAAATTATTGACTACATCGGCAACAAAATATGTCAATGCACCATTGATAGGAGTGCTCAGCCACCAACGTATATGCGTTTGCAAATCCGTATTAAGGTGGATGAGTTTTTCGGGCACTTTCCAAGTATCTGACCGCGAGCTATAGAAACTATAATTGCGAAAATGCGTTTTTACCATAAATTTTTGAAGAACTGCTGAAGCAGTCAATTCAAGTGTCTTATATTTAATATTTGGAAAAAGTTCATGGTGTAGTGGTGTTTTTCATAGATGAAAACCCAAAGTCACCCCTACAACTTATATCAGAATGATTAAAGATCAATCGTAACGGAACATGTTTCGAGCTTATACAAGCCCATCATCACCCTTCAGAACCTTGTAAACCAGTATTCAAAAAATGAAAAATTTTAAGGCTACCTTGCCTATATATCTTAAACCTAATAATTTTTATGAAGGATTATGAAAATAAATTTCCGAAAAATGACCAGATACATGGATATGATACAAGGAATAAATAAAATATTCATCTGCTCTTTTCCCGTCTGCTCATTGGACAAAATTCCCCGAAATATGTTGATGTTAAATGCTTCAATAAGATGAAAAATCTAATAGATATGAGCGGTAGTATCTCAACAATTAGAATTAGGATATCAACATTTTTGAGTGATAAAGCTTTCTATATCGTTGAAGAGTTTCTGGGCTTCTGAATATATTCTGAAACTATTTTAATAGATATATGCTGTCCCTATATATGTATGTTCAATTTTATATTATCAAAAGGAGGGAAAAAATACGAATATATTATGATTATATCCATTCTTGTATTTATGTACTAACTACACTTGGATAATATTGTATCTTTCATATATATATATAATTTGAAATTATACCTAGTCATTCGATCCTGAATTGATATGTTGTCCAAGTGTACCGAAAGGTGATAATTCAACGTTGAAAAATCAAACTAAGAAGTTTGATGAGGCAGATTTCAATAGTCGGCCGTCCCTTCTCAAGTAGACGGTGTTATCTGGAAAGAAACATCCTGTATACACAGAAAGAACCGGACATCCATTATCTCCGATGGTGATAGTAAAAGAATGCATCATATTATCCAAAAGTGTAGATTGAAATCTGGAAGCACCATAGAAAATGTTCTAAAACATTTTATCAAAAGGAACGGGGTATTTCAATTTCATGGCTGTTATCATTACTCCTGTAATCAAATAAATTGATGAAATTAAAGTAAACATGCTCCTGATCATTTAATTCTATGTTCTAAGATAAGTAAATATATCCATTATACAGAAAACGTCAGACCAGCTTATATATTCATATACATATATGGCCTCGATTAATGTTTCATTTTATTATGATCAGATAATGATTCCCCAAAGAACACACTCCCGCTGCTGGAATGAAAAATTGTATATTCATTTGTGTATCAATTTTAGATATCTGTTCCACCATTTTGAAGTATGGAATTCCTGTAATCAATTTTTATTTTTGTTATTCTTTCATCATTCAAAATGTCATGTCCTTTTTTAATCGATTGATGATTGGGAGTCAGTCAATTGCCCCAGAAGATCATAGATATATCATCGGACTGGAGCACTCGGCTTCTGAGGCACTATTGCCTCACCCTGTATAGGCTGATTCATGGAAAC